CACCCGAAGGACAAGGCCTTTCATGTGACACCTCATTTTTGAAAATCCGACGAACGATACAGATTTTATGGCTTGGTGTTAAATATTTAACGCAACCATCTCCGAAATCGATTAAGAAGTTTCACTTCAAAAAAATCTTACAAATAAAATTCACTTATTTTCGTACCGTAGTGAGCAGGTCATCTAATTACCGCGCCCGATAATGGTCTATTATAACAGAAGTCTAGATCTGGTAAGGGCTACGCGGTGGCATATAATGTGCCCTACTGTTTCCTTTTGTTCGTGTCACTACTACTCTTGTTACTGTCTGTGCTTCGTGCCTTCTAAGGTGAATGAGTGCTTCGCTTCTCCTCGTTGATATTTCCGGGAGGTTTTTACTATGACAGACCGATAAAGGGTTCTGGCCTATAAATGCCAGAGAAACTCGCTTTTCTGTCGAGAATATCTGCCACTTAATTGCCCATGAATCGGCTGCGTGGTATTTACTTCTGTCTTCATCCACCACACATCACATATCACATATCACATATTTAACTTTTTGTGAGCCTTAAAATCGATTTCAACAAATATCGCCTTCCCCATTTCAGATTGGAGAACGACAAACTAAAACAGCAATTAAAGAAGAAGGATGAAGAAATCGTACAAAGTAGAGCAACACTCGAAAGAATTACAAACGCAGTAAGTATAAAATCTATTTTATTTGTACCTAACCTAAAAAGTGTTAACTGGTATGGAATATACAAATCCATAAAACTAAAAACATAAAGGAAGAAAGAAACAAAATACAATTCCAAAAGTCGACAAAATCAAAATTCAAAAATTATACCAAACGTGCATTGCTCGCTGCCAACAACAAATATAAACTGCTGCTACATACTAAGAACATACAAATATGTATCTACAACTTTCCGCTTAACAAAAAAAAAAGCAATTAATAAAATTTGTCGAAAGACAAAATTCAAACCGAAGCAAAATAAATAATAACACAAAACATGCTAAGAAACACACATAGGTCAGAAATAATGTAAAGCATTAAAAATAAACAGTTGAGAGAAAAATAAACATTTCAGAAATTGCGAAAATAAAACAAAAAATACGAATAAAAAAAAAAATTTTTTTTGCGCGCGTTCTTTCAATCGCTGTTAAGATAGATAGATACTCTTTATTTTTCTACCGCAACATTTGTATGATACAGAATATAACACAAAAGGAAAAAAAAGAGAGTGAGATCGTAGTGATCGCAGACTAAGCAACGCTTAAGCGACAGACAACACCAAAATTAATTCTGTTAACATTTGTACATAGCAATGTTATTTGCATAAATTACAGCTGCTTTTTAATCACAATTCTATGCTTTCACATCTAACATACTCTGCACCATGCTCTTTACTTACTTACTATCTGCCCAGTTGCTCTCTTAATCCACCCGAATACACTCTTGCTAACATGATTTATTTTTTTTTTCTAAACTGCCAGAAAGCATATAAAATCGCACACACGCTCATCTACTTACTACTCGTAGGTACATACATAAAATCATAAAACGAATAAATTTCGCTAAACGCTCCTTGCTGCCTCTTAATCCAACTTATGTCTGTGTATTTGTACATGTTACATAAAAATGTTAATCTCTAAATTTGAAAACAAAAAAAAATAAACAAAAATCACAAAATATGAAAATATCGAAACAAAATTTCGCAAATTTAATTTTTGCAGACAACTAAAAACTCACTCTCAGAGCTCGAAAAACGCGAAAGGAGAGCAATGGAACGCAAACTTTCCGAAATGGAAGAAGAGTTAAAGGTAAATAATATTGCAAGCACCAAAATACACGCAAACATGCACACTTGCATACAAAGTGCATCCACCCGCCCTCACACACGCACACACACACACACACACTTTCATGAAAGTAAAAAAAAAAAACAAATTTTGTTTGTTGATTGTTGTTTAATACACCTAACTGCTCTTGTGACTTAACAGCCCTCCCGACACACACTTATGTACACGCACTTAAACCGAATAATGAAAGACACCAAAAAAATGAATACTAATTTTTTACTAAAAACCTTAAATAAGTATGTATATATTTATTTTGATTTAAATGTTTTTTTTTATTGCATACAAATGTACAATCTAAGTATGTACATATGTGCACCCAGCAAAGTGCATTAACTAGGCTGCTGGTTTATTTATTGCCAAAGCCAAGTAAAAAGCTTTAAGTGCATTCACACAATTACACTTTTTTTCAGTTGGATGTATGCTGATGTAATTTTTTGGTAAATCATAAGGATTTCTTAGCAGTTATCACATCAAAATGTTTGGAACATTTGATTTCTACTATGTATGCATTTTTTTATTTTATTGTTTGTTTTTGATTTTACTTTTAAGTTTTTTTTTATTTTATTTTTTTTTTATTTATTTTCTTTTATTTTTTTTATTTTTTATTTTTTTTTTTAATTTCGCAAAGCATGTGGTCGACCAATTTTTTAAAAAGTAATTCTTTAAGTTGCTTAGCCTCATATGTGCCGACCGCCTAAATTGTCAAGCACATAAATGTACTTTAAATTTGGACTTTTATTTTTTCGGTAAAATTTAATTGTTATTTTGGATTTTTTCGACGATTTTAACCGTGGAAACTGTGTTTTTATGACCGATGGAAAGAATAAAAATCGTAAAATAACGATTAAATTTTATTAGAAAAATAAAAATCGAATTTTAACGATTAAATTATAATTTTTATCATACAGATAACAGCTACGGTCCCCGAAAATTACTATTTTCAAGAATAAAGTTTTAAAAAGACATTTTTCAATACTTTTTCGTCTTTGTTCACAAAAAAAAATAATTTTTTTAAATTTTTTTTTGAAATTTCGAAGCCTTTTTAGAAAAGTCCTGAGGTCAAAAGGAAAACTCAAAATGCTATTTTACTAAATGCAGTTTTACTATAGTTGGCCCCTAGTTTCGCGATTATATTGATGTTTTCGTGTGCAAAATTCTCTGTGGCGCGGTGTAATCGATGTTGAGAGGTCGTGAAAGTAATACAGGACAGCGAAATTTCACCATTTCGAGTTTCAAGAACGGCTATGGGTGATTCTTGAAGATTTAAATACTCGGAAAACGAATCTGGCTTTGCAAATGCTCCAGCACGATTTTGGGAAATTTTAGGTTAGGGTCAAAAAATGGCAAATTCATCCGTTTCAACGCATCGAAGTTACTTTCTGATTGTTTATCTACAAGAATTACTCGTTTTATTAACTGTACTTCTCAGGACTGTGTAAGTTTTCTATCCCGTAAAAGTCTAAAGCTATGGACGTTTTTCTGAAAACGGTACACTGTACTCAGTTAATTGCATTTGTTTCACAAAGAAAAGGTTAACTTAACAAGATCCTCTCATTATTTGAGGTTAAGTCCTGACTATTCTTAGATAATGTACAATAATAAACTTAGATTAGATTAGAGGAAAGGAACGTAGCAGATAATCTAGCCAAAGTAAAGCAACCAATACTCCAACCAGTCCTGAACCATTTTTGCATTTAGCTCAAACACGATACAGCGCAGGACTTAGCTAGGTGAAGTGCATACTGTTAGATATAACGATAACCAGAAGAGAAGATAAGGATTATATACATAAGTAGTAGGGAAAGTTATATGCATAAGCTGGGGAATGGCACAGATCATTAAATGATGGACGAAATTTTTCTCCCGCACCCAACAAGGACCGCTTTATCGGTTGCACGCGAAATAAACGAAGACGCAATTTTGGTTTTTTGGACATCCATCGCTTTTTATTTGTTTCGTCTGTTTAGCATCTCTGATTCACATCAATTCGCCAGGGGACTTAATATTGATAAATATTTGCAGAGAAAGTTAGAGTTTCGTGAAATTAGTGTCCAAGCCATCGCTTTGCTTATTTGTTGACTATCGTCGTATGCTTTAGTGTTTTCTCGTTAAAGCTCCTGCCCTGCTTTTGATGTTTATTTATTTTGTTTTTAAATTGCTGCTCCCATCTCCATTGATTTTTTTTTTACCTAATGGCGGATTTCCACCGGGCACTGAAATGAAAAAAGAAAAAATATTTGCCATTTAATGCCATGTGGAAACAAACCTAAACGGGATTTCCACTAGACACTGAAATAAAAGAGAGAGTTTGCAACATTTAATCACATGTGGAAACAAACTTAATGACGAATAATATTAACATTATGACATGGGTAATTTTGAATGCTAATTTTGTCATTAAAATTTTCGATATTTATTGCCTCGTGGAAATCCCTCATAATGCCGAATTTGTCATTTAATGCCCAGTGGAGATCCCGCATAATAATTTTATTATATTCATGTTTTGCTTTTGCTGAAAATTGTTGGTTTTTTTAATATCTCGTTTTATTTATAAATATGGGTAGAAAAATCACAATTTTTCAATGCACTTGGTTAAAAGACCCAAATTGAGTTTTGGTTTGATTGTACATTTTGTGATAGTGCGCACTCACTGTTACATATATACGGAATCTCATGCTTTCATCCATAAATTATTTAAATCAGCTGATTGCACCAGGAAACAACTACGAACCAAACAGAAAACTAATTCATATAATCCTTAAAAAGTCTTTGAAAAAACTTTCCAAAATTCATTACTGATCCTTTTGAAATGCAGAGGATTATCCATTTCGAATTTTCAAATACGCAAGGTTGTAGTTTGATGGCAATATGGATAACCCTCGATTTTTATGTGCAATTTTTTTCTCTTTTGAGGCTGCGCAGATTGTAGCTATGACCTGCTACTAATTTTTATTGTCACAGTAATGCCGAATTTCCACTAGACATTAAATGACAACATTTTTAAGGAAAATGTTGGGCATTTTAAATACCCGTGCCATTAAGTTCATACAATTTGTCATTATGTGTGTTTACACATGGCATTTTTTAAATGGCATAAATTTTTTGTCATTATAATGCCTAGTGGAAATTCGGCATAAGCCTAGTGGAAATATGGCATTATGTAAAATTAAACTCTTAACCGGAATCGAATAAATCGAAACTTATTGAATTTGAATATCTTGAAAATCACAGAGGTTTTTTATACCCGAATTAGATAGTTATTAACCCTTCAAAAAAGGAGGAGGCTATCAATACATCGGAATTTGTTTTTATGTATGTTGCAGGATATTTTTTTTTATCGGACTGGTGGCACCTTAAGGATGGTCCCATACTAATTTGGTTTAAATTTTTATAAAGTCTGTTGTTTCTTTTTATTGTTTAAAAATTACTTGTTTTGTATCTTTAACTGGCAGTGTAATTTTTGTTAATTATGTATTTAATCTTTTCCACGAGATCTTTAACTGATCCTCACTTGCAAATATACATTTGTACATACATACATACATTGATTATTTTTGACATTTTAGGCCTTTTGTAAACTCCTGTGTTTTGCGTGTACAATACCACCATAAATACATCATGACATTTTTTATATCTACATTTCATCATTCAAAATTCTTCATTTGCTCATGAAGTCATCATAGCTACTTTTTTTTAAAGCTGTCAAACATATGCACTTACATATACATGTCACAGTGAAATCACTTGTAAATATGCTTTTTCATCAAGTACTTTCGTTGCTCACTCGTGAACTTAATAATCCTCACGAACCTCATTCACTGTCAACTCTACTCGCATTCATATTGTTCCCATTGTTCGTTCACATTTTATATTTTCATAATTTTCATGCTCACCTCAGAATGAACTTTGTGTTGTTCCCGCTGCATACTTGCCCACTACATTTACAAGAATCCAAAATCCAAAAAATTGTTATACATTGTATGTAGTTGGTCCCAAAATCATCGTCACATTTCATGTTTTCATTATCAAACGAAAACGAAATTTGTTAATTACCATGCTCTCTTATACGTCTTGTTCTTCTCTCTTTTTTTCTCCATCACTTTTTTTGTTGTTGTTTTTTTGCTTTTGTGTCATTTGCAGCTATTGCAGAAGCTTAAGACTGAGAATGAGCGTTTGCGTGCGGAGAATCGTGCTCTCACGCGTGTCGTATCCAAGTTGACCTCCTCAGCTCAGAGTCAACTAGCTAAAAAATCAAAATAATTTTAAAAATAAAATGAAATCAAATCAAAAATAATACTCTTAAACTAAGGAAATTAGTAAATGAAAAATTATTAATATATATATACATAATTCATATGCGCATATACACACGTACATACATACTATTGTTAAAGATAAGTGTTTAGAAGAACAAAAAAAAAGAGACTACATAAAAGCAAGTGTTTCGAGAGACGGCGTATAACTCTGGTGCCGAGTAATGCTTACAGTATTTAAACTCGTATTGAACTGGATAATTTTTGTGCTGCAAAGAAAATGACGCTGGTGGAAAGAAGCTTCCTAAGAGAGCTTTTAGTGGGAGCTGTGTAGTATAAACTATACTACATACAAATAAATGAATGAACACTCGTGTCGAGATGCTGAAGTTTTGGAAAAATTGCCACTTCTTGGCTCCGGTTCTATCAGCATAGGCAGCAAACATATCAGCAATGATTACACTGGAAATTTATAAACTGTTATTGCACAATTCCACAATGGATATCAACTGGATTAGGAGCATAAAAAAAAAATGTTGGTGTTAATAAGCTTGTATGCCTCTTGCCAAGCTACAACGTACGCGCGCTGACTTTGAAAACCGTCGGAACGATTACGCAGCTTTCATTGCTCTACCAATATACATACACATAGATTTATGTATTTAAAAGTACATTTAATATTGCTTGCATATCATAACTGCACAATAATCGAATAAAAAATAACCTAAAACTTTGCGAAAAGTGTTTAATTGAGCGAAATGTTAGATAACAATAAATTAATAAAGTAATATATATCTCATCATGCAATTAGAACAAATATTAAAAAAAAAAATATCCAAATAATTATCCCACTGACAGTTAAGTGTTCAATATAAGCGCTCTGGAAAAATATTCGGAATTTCGATGTGAAATCCTCGATGATCAACAAAATTGGCTGATGGTTCTGCTTGCTCCGATTTTACGCCGGTATAGTTTTCTTGTTGACTTGAATGATATTAATATTTGAGACACAAACCAAATAGACAATATTCAAGATTTGCTTTTGGTACATTTAAGCATTGCAGAGTGTGACTGATAGGAAGTTGAACAAGAATGATAGAATACAACTCAGTAGATAATTTCAAGAGTAAAAATCGCTTCCAAAAGCCTTCCTGAGAGTCAAGAGGCCTTCCACTCTACATTCCTTTCTCTTTTCTTTTTTGTATGGAATGGCACAAATTGAAGGGCTTCTTCTTTCGCTACCCATGACATTTGTGGGTAAAAAGTAATAAGTAGTGTAATAAAAATTAATAAAGGAAATGTGAAAGAACTGTGATTTTAGTGAAAGTACGAAAGAAAAGAAAAGTGCAAAAAAATGCATATCAAATAGGGATCTAACAGCAAGCAAATAACAATGTTCTGATAACGGATTCTAGTAGATGGGGCCAAGAAACCATATACGTGTATCGGCGTTTTGAAAGTTTACGTGTTAGATATTTTAGTGGGGCTAAAGTTCTCCCTTTTGCATATTCTGCATGCATGGGAAATGGGCATAGGAAACCATGTAATCCTTACATTTTAGACATACAATGTGTTTAGCAGTTTTATGTAAAATACGATGGAGAACATTTATGTGGAACATTTTAACCCTCATCAATAGGTGGGCTTTTGGATGTATGGAGAAAATTCACTCATGGACCCGCCCGCCCTCTTCGCTTGAATTAAAATCATTCTAGCGAGCCTTAGAAGATCTACATACATACCATACATCATGCTGCAAATATTAAGCAACAAACTATATAAATATGTATTTTTTGGGCCCTGCATAAAAATTTACTTTCACTTGCCTGGTTGTGTGGTTATATTTTTTATTCAGTTTAAAACAATAAAATACACTACAAAATAAAAATAATTTTTCTATAGTGTATTTTATTGTTATACAACAACAAAGTGCACTGCAGAAAAATTATTTTTTACCAGATAACCTGATAACCAGGCAAGCGTGAACAACAACATTTATTTATCGGCTGTGGCCTGATTTTTAATAAAATAAAAGAAATTTAAAAAAAAATCCTTGCGGTGCAGCAAAAATGACTTGTTTACTTCCGATTTCTTTCTAGAACGTCAAAGTATGCTCTTTTTTAAAATACAATAAGACCCTACTTATCTAAATTGTATAATAATTCTAGAAGCTATGAGCATTTAAGTAAAAATACGCACAAAAAGTGTCCATACAAATTTATGATTTCATAAATTATGTAAACCTTTGATAAATTTTAAATCACTAATTTGTATGGACGGTGCTGTGTGAAAAACCCCTTATGAAAACAACTGTTTGGGCCTTATCAGCGTGGCTCCAGATCTAGAAAATCCATCATAGACTAGATTTTTGCAGTTCGTCAAATACTGGGGAAAAGATAAGAAATTTGACACACACCAACTTTGACGACTTTAAATCTGCAGAGTGATGGTGAGCAGCTTCGTCGAAATTGGGGAAAAGCCTCTCCGTTTGGTTAGAGACCAAACGAAGTTTTATACAAAGGGGAATATCTGACAATTTCTTCAATTCGATGTGGGAAAGCGTAGTAAGTACGAGCTGCCCATCTGAATAAAACAAAATTATGATGCGCCTGGTGTATGCAGTTGATATTGATATCATCAGCCTCAACACACGGGCCATCCGTGCAGCATTTTCCAGCAATCAGGCAGGGGAGTCTGGTCCGCGGTAAATGAGGACAAGCCAAACAAAGTACCTCCTAGCAACACTCAAATAGTCTTCACGTATTGGCACACACGTCACTGTTGGTAGTTATGTATATGTAGCTTTGAAGTAATGAATTTGTATATCTTGGATCCAGCCTGAAGATCAAGCGACGAATAACTCTTGACAATAGGCGTTAAGTACTCTGCAAATTTTCAACCAAAACCACTCTTCACCTCAAAAATGCCAAATATCGCAAATCGGCTCAAGAAATCGCCTACTTGACCAGCGAGAATATTGAGTTGATGGGCCATCGTCCATACAGCCCTGATTTTGCATGCATACTTTATTTTAAGCCCGCAAATAAAAATTGGGGCGCAATTAACTTATTCATTGCCCCAAGTAGCCGCTGAAGTGTTCAGTGATTTGAAGGTACATCAATCTCAGTGGCAAAAATGCTTCGGTAAATATGTAGTTCGAGCGCTTGCAAAAGTTCATAGATGAAACTTGGTTTTAAGAAATAAAAAAAAGGTTGAATCCGATCATAGAAATTCGTCATTCATTGTTTGGTCAACTGTTTGTGGTTGGTTGAGTAATTGAGGAGTGTCTTAAGCAGGGATCACACGGTTTGTACATTTTGGCAGTTACAGAGTGTTGTTGTCCGGAAATACTTTTGTTGGGCTGAATTCAAATTTCTCAACAACACCATTCTGTGACTGCCAAAATGTACAAATCTGTACAAATGTACAGATCGTGTGAACCCTGCTTAATCAAAATAGAAATATCATGTTTTGATTAGACACTCACCAATTAGAGGTCTCATTTGCTTCACTTTTCGGCGCCGTAAACTTTCCTTAAAGGTAAGCTGTTAACCAAGGTTAGATTTACATTTTTAGAAAAGTTTGTAATACCCGAGTTGTCACACTTTTTGCAATACTTTTTTGCAAGCATAACTCTTGAATGTTGTCATAATAAACAAATATTAAACCGAAAGTGTAAATTTAGTGACAGTTCTTTAATCCTTGTTAAACCGTTGATTATAAGCATAATTTAGTTTGTGCAAATCTATATTATATTAATAAATAAATTGATATTGATATCGTAAATGAAAAATAAATATTTTTGTTCCAAAAAACATTCTTGTCTTGTTTTGTTTCGTTGTTTTTGTATGCGTATTGGAAAATGGTTCACTTTTTGTTTGTTTCATTTTTGCATTTGTTCGAATTTATGCGAAATTTTCTTCTCTATCGACTAAAATTTTCTATAAACATTTTCTTCTACAATAACATTTGTGTTTCTTTATTTGTTTGGAAAATACGTACATACTATTTATTTACGTTCGTTTTGTGATTATTTAAAAATTCCATACAACAAACAAATAAACATATTTGTCTTAAAAAAAAATGGGTGAGAATGGCACATACACAACAACTTGGTGGGTTAATTTTTATCTATTAAAAAAAAAAAGGATAATAGAAATTTTCTAAAAGTTTTTTTAAATCATTGTCATTTGCGTCTAGTATAATAACAGGCTTCCGGGATTAGTCTGCATTGGGCATTAATTAGTCGCAACTAATCCCACACGGGTATTATTAGAGATCAATTAGCCGCCGACCCGTGAGGAATGGCACGTCTGATCTAATGGAAAACCACATGCGGGCATATTTTAACCCTCTACCTCCTCCATAGAAAAATGGTCGAACAAAAGGGAACTGTTCATTCCATATAAATAATAAAAATAGGAATTATTCGCATGTTCCCTTGCGATTGATCCCCGAGTCATGCCTCTTTATTTTCACGTCACATTCCTCCTCTTTGTATTCTGGTAGCTAGCGAGAGCAAAGTACGATTATGATTTTCAAGGCAATTTATGTTGCCATATAGACTCGATTAGCCGGGTATGTAAAGAGCGTGTCAGACGTGGCAATATTCCCAACTTTTCCACGCAATTCGCTGTCAAATTGAGAACGAGAAATTTTATTTCGATGTGTGAACAGCCAGAAAGACCTTTCTGTCACATTTCGGAAATCTATTTCAGAAATAAAAGTTGCAAGATGTGACTGCAATTGAAAGAGCGAAAACCGATTTCGAAAATATATTTCAGCGCTTGCTCGTGCTGTACTAGCAATTTTTATTTCTGCTGCAAGTGCTGTCAAGCTAATCGAGTGTTGTCGTGTGATACTGATCGCGAGTTTGTGAGAAATAATAACGCAAAATTTTGAACAAAATATAAGAAATGATTTTAATTAATTATTTTTTGGAATTTAATTGTTTAATTATGAATAATAAATTAATCTTCTATGATAACAACCGGCAAAGCGGCTCAGGGTTGCATTTTAGTATCGAGAGAAATTGTCAGAAGAAATTTCGCCTTTCGGAAGCAAAAAAAAACTCTTTCCAAAGACAATTTGCATGCAAGGTGTGACTGCTCATGCTTTCTGAAATTTCGCATTTTGACAGCCTTTCTAAAATATATTGCATTGTAACGTCTGACCAGCCTCTTTAAAACTCTCGATAACGCATTCGTTTTCCGACACGGACTGGTAGTAACAAACACATTTTTCCTTTCTAAAATATATTGCATTGTAACGTCTGACCAGCCTCTTTAAAACTCTCGATAACGCATTCATTTTCCGACACGGACTGGTAGTAACAAACACATTTTAAAATTTGTAATCCAAAAAAAGTGGAATTGCGGTTTCGCTGTCACTCAGAAAAGTCAGAATTCTTTCATTTCTACCTCACTTTGGCTTTCACATGAGTTCCTTTTTTGTATTTTGCCAAGTTTTTGGTGTTTTGCCAAGCTTCAGCCACAATTTATGGTGTGTGTTTTGATTTTTTCGAACAAACGACGGGATCTAACGGTTTTGCGGACTTCGAGAGAAGTAGAAGGTGTTTTTTTTTCTGAAAATATGACCGAATTTCGCTGGGAAAAATCAAAATGAAGCCGAGTGCTTTATTGTACTATCTTGAAGGAGTAGTAAGTATTTTTCTGTCAAGAACCTAGCACCAAGATTGGCGAAATTTTGTCATTGCGAACGAGTTTTTAATA